AAAAAAAAAAAAAAAAAAAAGACAGATATAAATGGCAGTGCTACATTAATAAGTTTCTCAAAGGTAAATATTCAAAGCCGGTCTGTCATCTAGCTGGTCTCAGTTCATGGCCCCTCCATCCTCCAGCTGCTCAGAAACACCTTGGAGTCATCTTTTATTTCTCGTTTTTACAGCCTGCATCCAGTGCACCAGGAAATTCAGTCTTTGCATCTCCACTTTCTGCAGAACCCGCCCACTTCCTCCTGTGCCCGCCCTGCGCCCCATCTGGTTGTGTCCACCCTCACCGCGTCTACCCTGGCTTCAAACGGCAGCCTCCCGCACCTGCAGCCCAAACACTATCTTTTCACAAGAATCTGGGACGGAGCCTGAGAGCATGGGCGCCAGATCACAGCTCTCCCTGCTCTGCTCAGAGCCCTCCTGAGGCTCCACACTCAGAGCAAGAATGCCCAAGTCAAGGAAAGGAGGAAAGCATGAAGGAGTTTGCCCTGGCTTGGCCCTGCCCAGCTTGTTTTGTTTGTCTGCTTTGGGAATTTTTTTGTCTTTTATTATTATTATTATTTTAGGGGTTTTTTGGTTTAGTTTTTTTTTTTTTTTTTGGTGTCAGAAATCAAACTCAGGACCTTGCATTTGCCAGGCAGGCACTTGTGCCACTGAGCTAATTCCCCAGCCACTGGTTTGGTTTTTTGAGACAGGGTCTCACTATGTACTTCAGGCTGACCTTGACTCACCACATAGTCCACGCTGGCCTGGCAGTCCCACTCACATCAATCTTCCCTCAGCCTCCCAAGCAGTGGGATTACAGGCCTGTGCCACTGCCTGATTCTTTCCCCCCAACCCAGTATTGGGGATTGAGCACAGGGCTTTCACCCTGAGCTACACCCCTAGCTCTTTTTTTTTTAAATTTTGAGACTGGGTCTTGCTAAATCACAAAGTTACCCAGGTAGAACTTGCAATCGTCCTGCCTCAGCTCAAGGACCTGTGATTATGAGTGTGTGCCACTGAGTGTGAAAGAAGGGAAGAGAGCCTAAAAGTCCAAGCAGGTTTACTGCTTTTTTGTTGTTGTTTTTGTTTTTGTTTTTGTTTTTGAGACAAGTTCTTGTTGTGTAGTGCAGGCTGGCCTTAAACTCACCAGAGCCCAGGTTGGCCTTGAATTCCAGGTGATCCTCTTGCCTCAGCCTCCCAGGTGCTGGGACTATAAGTGTGCACCACCATGCCTGCCAAGCAGGTTTATTGCTAAACTTGAGAGGGACCTTGCCAGGCATGGTGGCGCACTCCTGTAATCCCAACACTCGGGAGGATGCGGCAGGAGGATTGTTGCAAGTTCGAGACCAGCCTGGGCTACAAAGTGAGCTTAAAGCCAGCCTGTACTGCATAGCGAGACCCTGTCTCAAAAAGACAAAAAAAAAAAAAGAGCGGGACCTCTCTGTGCAAGCAGAACAGAGAAAGTGTCTAAGATAGTGGGTGGGCTCATTGGAGCTGGCAGTGTCCCCGTCTGGGCTCTATCTGCCACCATGCCAGGCTTTTGCACAGATTTTGAAATAGTGGGAAGTTCTGGGGCTTCAGCCAGACCCCAAAGGTCTTCCACATGCTAGTCCCCATTTGCCTTCCAGCTCACCTCCCAGTCTCCCCCTAGATCACTGGCCTTGCTGCTCCTCCCACACGCCAGACACCATGCTGGGCCTCAAAGCCTTTGTACTTGATGACACTTGGTACTGGGGATTGCACTGGGGGACTTTGCACTTACATCCACAGCCTTTTTTGAGACAGGGTTTCACTTGCCCAGGCTGAGCTCAAATTTCCTGCCCTCCTGCCTCAGCCCCGCAGAGAGATGGGATTACAGGCAAGGGCCACCACATCAGGTTTGGTGGCAGGTCCTTAGCTCTGCCACACTTCCCCCACACTCTGGGTCTCCACAGCTCACGGCCTTCTCTCCCGCAGGTCTATATAGAAACATCACCTGCTTGGTGAGCTCTTCCCGTCCTGCTCATATGGGACAGTGGCCTGATCAGAGATCATCGCATTAGGCAGAACAAGGTAGACTCAGAAAGACACACGCACCACATTCTCCCTAATGGGATCTGAGAAAGACAGCATGGAAGCAGGAAGGAGATCATTATTAGAGAAAAGTACTGAAGAGTGGAAAGGATCAAAATACACACAGTAAAAATCAGTATCCCGCTGGTAGCACGTACTTGTAATCTCAGCAATTTGGAAGGCTGAGACAGGAGAATCTTGAGTTTGAGCCTAGTGTGGGCAGTTTAGCAAAATGCTGCCTCAAAGTAAACAAAAAGAAGGGCAGGAGATGTAGCTCAGGAAGATGGCTCTGAGTTCAATCCCTGTTCCATAAAAAAGAAACCTATTATTTTGTAAAGTTAATAGGAACTAATAACACAAGAGGGAAAAAAAAAAACCCTAAAATAGGCTCCTGGGAGTGCGGGTGTAGCTCAGTGGCAGAGCCTGCCTTGAATACATAAGGCCCAGGGTTGAATCCCTGTACCACTGGGCATGGTGGCGCACGCCTGTAATCCCAGCACTCAGGAGGCTGAGGCAGGAAGATCACTGCTGCTAGTTCGAGGCCACCCTGGGCTACAAAGTGAGTTCAAGGCCAGCCTGAATTGCAGAGTAAAACCCTGTCTCAAAAAGACAAACAAAACAAAAATGCCTGTACCTTTGCTCATAGCACACATCATTTGACATTCTGGTTATTTCTGCCCTGTATCTTATCTGTTACTTCTGCAGGCATTTCAGCCTCTGAGGGAAGGGGCTCTTTGTTCTGGTCACCTGTGTATCCCTATCTCTGTAGCAGTGTCTGGCTGCAAGGAGCTTAATCAGTCCTGAAGGGATGACTGAATGGGTGTAAAACCTTGGTGAGCAATTGGATTTTGTTGTTTTTTTGCAGTGCTAGGGATTGAAGCCAGGGTCTATAGCGTGTAGGTAAATGCTCTGTCTACTGCTGAGCGACAGGCTGGACCCAGAATTTTATTCTAAGTGCAGTGGGAAGTTAAGTAGGGTTTTCAGCAGGAGGGCTGCGATCTGGCTACTTGAGGGGCACTGGGAGCCCCGAGAGGCTGGATAGAGCAGCGTCCTGCTGGAAGCAAGCACCGCGGGAGAGGTGAGGGGATTTGGGAAAGGCAGCTGATAGGACTATCGAGAATGTGACTGTGGGACCTGCTCAGAGTCCACACTGTAGCCTGCAGCCTGAGCAGGCTGCCGGCTGTGGCAGGGCCACCTCTTCCTGCCCAGTGTGGAGCCCCCTGGGTGCTGGCCCGCCAGCCTTCACCGCCCTCTCCCACTGGACTCTGAGAAACCTCCCAGACCAAGGGCGCAGAGATGCCAGCAGCCCCAGCCAGATTAAAGGCTCCCTGTAATTGCACCCTTGAGGCTACTTCCTGGCAGCCATCCACAGTGTGGTGATAATAGCTGACATGTCCATCTAGGGTCAAAGGGCAGAAAGGGACCAGAGGGGCTTTACTTACTTATTTGGAACTGGGACTCAAACTCAAGATCTTGCACTTGCCAGGCTGGTGCTGTGCCACTGAGCTATATCCTTGCCCTTATTTTTTTGAGATAGGATCTTGCTATGTAGCCCAGGCTGGTCTTGAACTCAGCAGTCCTCCTGCCTCGGCCTCCCAAGTGCTGGGATCACAAGGTGTACAGAGGAGCCTGGTTAGAGGGGCATCTGTATCACCATTTCTGTGCACCAGAGACTTCAGTTGGAACTAAATGCTGTATCCCACAGTTTTGGTTTTAATTTTTTTGGTGTTGGGCTTTAACACATGCTGAGCACGTGCTTGCCGTACCACTGAGCTGTGTAACTTCCTGCATCTCGTTTTTAATACTACTTAGGAAAGTAGACTGGTGCCAGGCATAGTGGTGCATGCCTGTAATCCTAGTACCTGGGAGGCAGAGGCAGGAGGATTACCACTGAATGCTAGGCCAGCCTGGACTACACAGCAAAACCGTCTCAAAAACTGAAAAACAGGCAGAAGGAAAGCAGACTGGAGAGGGCTGTGTCCCCCCGGATGGGACAGAGAACAGATTCCCTAACACAGCCGTGAAAGCTGCTAAACAGCATCCCGGCCAGTGTGGAGGAACAGCAGGTTTGCAATCTCTGTTCCAAACAAGCACTGAGCCGGGCATGGTAGCGCACGCCTGTAATCCCAGTACTTGGGAGGCTGAGGCAGGAGGATCCTTGTGAGTTTGAGACCAGCCTGGGCTACAAGATGAGCTCAAGGCCAGCCTGAACTGCATAGGGAGACCCTGTCTCAAAAAGACAAAAAAACCCAAACAACCCAAACAGGTATTGATTCACTTTTTTCAGCATTGGGGATTGAACACAGGGCCTTTGCACTGAGCTATATCCCAGCTTCCGGCCTCCCTCACTGTCCTCCTGCCTCAGCCTCCCAGGGGGCTCTGACTACAGGCATGCACACCTGGCTAATTTAGTTTTTTTGTGGGGGGCAGGTACTGAGAATCAAACTCAGGACTTTGCACTTGCCAAGCAAGGCGCTGTACCACTGAGCTATATCCCTGGCCCTAATTTAGAATTTAAGGAGAGTGTACAGTTCCAATTTCAGCGCCAAAACTGAGACCCAGAGAGGCAAACTCACACATCCAAAAGCCACGAGGCTGGGGTTTGCACCCCAGAGTCCTTCCCCAGGCCAGCTGCTCAAAGGATGGTCCCCTGGAGTGAAAGCAGGCTGCCGAGGCAGGACGAGACACCACTGCTGAAAGAAGGGCTCACTTCTCCCCGCACAGCAGCAAGGCCCGCTGTACAGGGCATATCTTACTCCAGACACCTGTCAGGTGGTCCCCACCCAGAGGAGTGCCGTCGGGTCTGTCCGCTAATCCCAGCCCTCCCCTGCTCTGCCCCAGGAGTTCCTGACAAGCAGCTGCGTTCCTGTTCTGCCCGGGCGGGCCACTTCCTAGTTCCTGGCGCCTGTCCTGGTCTCTAACCCAGGGCAAAGGTTGCCGGCTCCACCCTGCAAGGCCTCCCTGGAATGCTGGGCGGCACAGGGAGTGGGGAGGCGGGCCAGTGGTGCTCAGAATGGGGTACGACGTCAGAACATCAGCCTCACAATGCTGTGCAGTGGCACTGCCAGGGCACACCTGGGCAGTGCCCATGAGGTGTTTCACTTCCTCCTCTGCTCCACCTCTCACCCTGAGGTGCCGGGCTGAGGGAAGATCATTAGCCTAAGGTCAGTCCGCAACACTGCCTGGGACACTTGGGTGAAAGCTGCAATGAGGCCAGGTGTGGTGGCACACGCCTATCATCTCAGAACTCAGGAGGCTGAGGCAGGAGGATTGCTGGGAGTCTGAGACCAGCCTGGGCTACAAAGTCAGTTCAAAGCCAGCCTGCGCTGCATAATGAGACTCTGTCTCAAAAAGACAAAAACAAACAAAAACAAAAACAACAAAAAACAACAAAAACAAACTTTCTGAGTACAGAAGACCAGACTGCAACAAGGGCAACACAAGGCTCACATTCTCTGGGCACATTATTCTCGCCCTTCCAGAGGAGGAAATGGAGGCTCAGAGAGGCCGGGGCCCTGGACCAAGGACACAGGACAGAGCCAGGATGTGGACACAGACGCGCCCTCCACTGTGGCAGAGCCAGGCTCCAGGCCACACAGCCATTCACATCGTCCTCCTCTCCTGGCTGACTCACTGCGGCCCTCCCCACCCGCACCTGGCAGGTCAGGAGGTGGGGGCGGGGTGAGGGAGAAGGGGCTCCAGCTGGGAACAAAGCCCTGCTCCCAGGGGTGCCGAGGGGAAATGGCAGGAAGCCTACAGCAAGGAGACAGCAGGCCTGAGCCAACAAGTCTTTATTAAAGGTCTGCTGCAGTTACTGGGAGGAGGCCATGATGCTGGACACACCTGTGAAGGAGAGGAGACACAGGGTTAGCCTGGGAAGGCCCCAAGGGGAACCTCAAAACACCTGCTCCATACACAGCACCACACCCCTCAAGAGCGATCACAAGCCCCTTCCAGACCCCCCGCCACTATCAAAGGCAGTTTGCATCAGTAGTTTAAAAACAAAACAAACACCCCTCAAAAAGCCAGGAACTCTGAAGGTCCAAGTTACGTAACAGTTCTGTGCCTTAGCTTCCCCATTTCCCCTATAGGGCTGCTGGGTTAGGCGAAGTGCTTAGAACCATGCCGGACACCAAATAAATGGGGCTTACAATGATCACTATCGTAGTAGTTTGTGCTTTTTTCTTGTTAGTCCAGCCTGGCCTCAAACTTTCAATCTTCCTGCCTCATCCTCCCAGATGCTGGGATTACAGGCGTGCGTTACCTCGCCCAGCTTGCAGGATTTGTTTTTTCGTGGTGATGGGGAATAAAACGCAGGACCTTCACACTGAGCTATCTACCTCCAGCTCTACCCTCCACGCCCTTTATGACAGGTTAAGTCACTACACTGCCTGAACTGGGCTAGAATTTACAATCCTGCTTCAGCCTCCCAGAGTGCTGGCTGGGATTATGGGTGTGCACCACCACATCAAACCTCCTCTCCATTTTTCAGATGAGAAAACTGAGGCACAGAAGCTACAAAGTTGAGAACTCAAATTCCTACCCACTAACTGGACCGCAAGGCCTGAGAGGTCCCTGGAGCCCTAGGATAAAGGAGGGCCAAAGGGACAGAGCGCCTGGGACCAGGTGAGTGTGGTGACACCTGCCAGCCCTGATAGCCCTGGGAAATCTCACTGAGCACTGTGGGGCAGGACACCCAGCACCCCCTTTTCCTCCCTGGCAAGGCACTCCTGAGACAGGCCCTGGAGCCTGGAGGTGCAAGTTCCCCAGCCACAGTCTCCGTGGAAAGCCCCCTGCCCACCCCACGGCCTGAGACCTCGGCCAGCACTCACTGTCAAAGTCGATCTTCTCCACAATGTTCTTGGGCTTGATGCTCTCCTCCTGGCTGCAGATGAAGATCTGCCCCGACTCGTCCGCACTCCAGCCGTATTTGCTCATCCACAGCTTCAGCTGGCTGTCTGCAGATGACACAAGCAGTGCAGGGGCACGGGTCAGCTGGATCATACAGCACCGTGGGGCCAGGGAGCAAGACTCACCAGCCAGGGCGCCCTCCTGCCCAGCTGCAGCTGGCCTCTCCTCCCTGGACAGCAGCAGCCGCCAGATGGGTCTCACCCCTTCTGTGGCTCATTTCCTACACTGCCGCCAGAGGGCGCACTTAGCTTTCTTGTCCTTCCTAGACAGGGTTTTGATCTTCACTGCATTTACTGAGTGTGATACCATGGATTGAACCCAGGGCCTTTGTACTGAGACATATCTGCAGCCCCTTTCATTGTAAGACAGAGTCTCTCTAAGTCACTTAACTGGCCAGGCTGAGCTTGAACATGGAATCTTCTTGCCCCTCAGAACACTAGGATTACGGGGTATACCTCGTCTGGCTTCCTTTAGTTTCTTGACTTTCTTTTGCTCCTTTCTTGCCAAATAAAAATAAGTACACAGGGGCCAGGGATATAGCTCAGTGGAGCAGCGCCTGCCTGGCAAGCGCAAGGTCCTGAATTCAATTCCCAGTACCAAACAATAAAGTACACAAACATCTTGTTTTTGGAGAGGTCTTTTAAGTCACCAATCTGGTCGAAGCCCTCCATGCTCAGAGCCTTCCTGCGGCTGCATCTCCCTCGGGGAACAACGTCCTGCAGGGACCACTCAGGACCTGCAGCTCCTGCTCCCGCCACCCTCTGCCCACACTAGTCTCTACCCGGCCACCTGTGAACAACTAGGCCCTGCTCCAGACCTCCCCGCGTGCCTGTCCTCAGGCCCCCGCCTCAGTCCATGCTAACTGTTCAAACACGGCCCTCCGTACGCGCTGATCCGCTGTCCTGCACAGCATCAACTGTCAAGGGGTTCACTCAGCGGCTGTGAGGCGTGGTTTCCGTCTGTAAAACGCACAGCCACAGCAGCCACAGGAACTTACATCACAGGGTCGCGCACAGGATGCCCCAAGTGTGGGTGAGTGGCCACGTAGCTGCTAGGACAATACTAGTGTCGTGGATGTCATGTAAATCTTATGTGTTTGTAATCTTTTACATTTTTTGGAGATGCTGGGGCCTGGTGCATGCTGGGTCTGTGCTCTGTCACTGAGGCCTTCTGTTTTGCTTGTTACCCAGAGTCCAGGACACTGTCTGGAGCAGGGTCAGAACTCAAGTTAGCTGGTTGGGCAAAGTGGTACACCTCTGTAATCCCAGCACTCAGGAGGCTGAGGCAGGAGGATCATTGCGAGTTCAAGACCAGTCTGGGCTACAAAGTGAGCTCAAGGCCTGCCTGAACTGCATAGCAAGACCTTGTCTCAAAAAGAAGAAAAAAAAAAGACAACCCCTTCACCAAAAAAAACCCCAAACTCAATTAGTTGCCATAGGAATAAATGACAAATGGTGCAAGCTCTCCCCAGGACGGGCACATCCTATGACAAACCCTTGTTTCCTCCCTGGGCTTGCCCCTGGTGATAGCCTAGAGGCCGGGATGGGTCCACCGGAGGAGGTGGCAGAAGCCCACTGTCCCTGGCCACCCCACCTCCCAAACTGGCACAGGGACCAGCAGCCTCACCTGGCAGATCCCCGAGCATCTCGGCCAGCAGCCAGCGGTCTATGTGCTGGTACGTGATGCCCACGACATGGCAGATAACTGTGGAGGGGAGAGGTGATGGTGAGGGGCTGGCCCCGGGCCTCCTCCCGGCCCTAGCCTTCCCTTGTGGAGCTCAGACAGGGACTTACATTTTCGGACCGAGTCTTCAAAGCCAGTTATACCTTCTGAGAGGTCCATGTTTTCATCCAGGGCTTGCTGAGGGGGAAACGGTGTACTCAGTATTGTAAACGTGACATCCACGACACTAGTACTGTCCTAGCAGCTACATGGCCACTCACCCACACTTGGGGCATTCTGTCCATTTTACAGACAGGGAGACCAAGCCTTACAGCAGCTAAGTGACTTGTGGTCTGAACCTGACTGGTAGAAAACACAGCCAGGAGCGGGGACAGACACAGGCCCGCCAACTGCACTCGGTCATGGAGCCTTGCTCGTGTCTTGCTTAGAGTGAAGGCCAACCTCTAAGCATACCCCATGAGCCCACCTGTGTCACCTCTACCCTGTCTCCCCCCACAGTGCCTCCCCCAGCTCCAGCCAAAGGGGTCTCCCGGCTGCCTCCCCAACTCATCAGGCCCTGCCCACCTCAGGCCCTCTGCACTGCCACTCTGCATCTCAAACTCCCTCCCCTAGGGCTGGCACTTTCCCCCTCCTTCAGGCTTTTGCTAAGTGTCACTCTCAGCGAGGGCTCCTTCCAACAGAAGCAGGGGCCACGAGCAGCACACGGGGTGCTGAGGAAAAGCAGCTGGGGAACCCCCACAGCCACCCTGGAAGCCAGTGAAGGTGGCCTGGCCGGGTGGGTTCAGGGGCACAGCGCACAGCCAAGCTGTCCCGCAAGGCGGGAGTGTTCCGGGGTGGGAGCCTTCTGTTTTGTTTCACTTGGCGGGCGGCTGTCTGACTTCCTCCAGCCAGGACGGGCAAGACAAGCCCTCAAAGGGTCCAGTGTATCGCGGCAAATATGGCACTGTAGACCCAGAAGGCGGGTGCTGGCTCCACAGAGGTTTAGAGCCAGGAAAGACCCAGGCAGACTGAGACAGTGCACCCCCTAGCCAGAAGCACGGCTGCAGGGGGGAGTAGCGGGGAGGGATGGCGCTGGTGGGGCGCGTGGAAGTCACGGGAGGATTTTGTTTTGTGCTCCATGTTTCTGTGGTGGCAGAAACCACCTAGCAAGGCAAAGCTTTTGATTTTTTTTTTTTTTTTGGTGAGACAGGGTTTTGCTATGTAGGTCAGGCTGACCTCAAACTGGTAGCAACTCTCCTGCCTCAGCCCCCCGAGTGCTGGGACTATAGGTGTGCGCCATCATGTCTGATGGAAAGCTTTTTTGTAAAAGGCGTATTTTTGCTATACGTGATGATGGTGAACCTAATGCAGGTGGTAGTTTTGGCAGGGGAAGTGCACACCAAGGAGGCCACGTGGCCTCCCACTTGGGGACAGATGTGAGGGCCTGGCTCCCGACAAAGCAGGAAAAGGCGAGCATTCCTAAAGGCTGGCGACAGAGGATGGGGTCAGCCTGAGTTTACGGGCACAGGTTCACCTGTGAGCGCTGTACTTCCTGCGCATGAGCACTGAGCACAGAGAAGCAGATGTGCATGGCGCCCGGCCTTCCTATCAGCATTCTACGCCCCACAGCCTGGCCGCCACCCTGCCCCTGGGCCCAAGGGAAGTTACCCAGAAGGCCTGGAAGTGACAGGTCTCCAGCAGGTCCCCAAGGTACAGAATCTGACGAATAGGCCGCTCTTCTTGCTGGCAGGGGAAGCATTAAGAGAAAACAGCCCCAAGCCCGTGGAGTCCGGGGTTCCCAGTCCCAGACCACCTCTCCCCCCTGACCTTAGTCTAGGCGCTTTCTGCCAAAGGCTCAGTTCAGAGGGAGGATTTGGGGCCTGCGGTGTGGCTCAGCACTTGCCCAGCAAGCATGTAACCCTGGGATTCATCTCCAGCACCACAAAAAGAAAACATCCAAAAAGAATGAACGAACTGGGAATGAGCCATCTCCTATCTTATTTTCCCTGAGGCAGGAGAAAGGCTGTTTTATCACGGCGCTGTAACGGCCAAGGGTGAGGAACAACTTCCAAGTCCAGTGAAGGGGACAATGAAATAAAAGGTGGCCCGAGCACATACTGGGATCAACTCAACACTTGGAACGCCAGCGGACCCGTCTGGCAGCGTGGATTCAATCAATTGCCTGGCAGCTCACAGCGTGGCAACCAATGGGCAGGCAGGCGGGACAGCCCAGCCCAAGTGCACCTGCTTTGCCAGGCACAGATGGGAGACTGCCGAGTCTGCCAAGTGAGTAAAAGCCGGAGGCTCACTGGGACAAGCCACAGAAGAGCAGGTTAAGTGGGGGGCTCAATGCCACGGAAGCCCAGCTTGATGCCAGGCACCACGGACACACGTCCGTGACGGTCCTGCCCCGGCGGAGCTGACGAGCCAGTTCTGCTTGCCTGGTCGCTCTCTGCTCAGCTGGCACCTCAGGGGACTTTCTGGAGCACCAACCTGGCCACAGCGCCTTCCTCCCCAAAGCTTCTCAGCGGCCCAGCGCCCTGGAGTTTGGCCGCACAGCACTTAGGCACCTGTGTCCTTCCTATGCCATGCTTCCTCTGTCTCTGAGAGCACCGAGGTCCTCCCACTAGGCCTTCCTACTGTTGCCTCTGCTGGGATCGGGATTTCTTCCCCTCCCCGGCCCCTGGCTTTCCTAGGCTCCCTCTCCCTCCCTCTTCTGGGCACCTTTCCCTAACCTCCAGGCAGAGTCAGGGATCTGCCCACTCCCAGCTGTCACTAGTGGGGACCCGTGTGCCTCTTCACTGGACTGTGAGGGTTTGGTGAGGGCAGGGGCCCTACCCAGGTTAGCACTGTCCCCGGCCGAGCCCAGAGAGGCACTTGGTGCCGTGGATGAACAGACACTTGGGTCAGCTTGCCCCTGTGCCCTTCCTGGCCCTGGAAGGATACATGCGCCTGGTCGATCATGCACTTGCACAGGGTGAAGTCGGTGTGGGGCAGGTTGGTGAGGGCCTTCAGCAGGATCTGGGCGGTGACTGTGGTCTGAAAGAAGGCTGGGTTGAACTGGTACCTGGGAAGGACGGCAAGAGACAGCAACAGTGACCCCTCCACATCCCTGAGCCGCACCAGGTGTTGGCTGCTGCCTCAGTCTGGAGCTCGGGCTCCGATCACACCCACATCTTCTGGCTTTGTAACCTTAGCTTCCCAGAATCTGTTTCCTCTCTATGGAGATGAGGACAGTTAATCCTTACCACTGCCCAACAGATACTGTTGAGTGACTCTTAAACAAATGGGGATGGGAGAAAATCAGTTACAGGGAAATTCCAACTCAAAAAAACAAAACAAACAAATGGGGATGGAAGTAGCAGTACAGCACAGTGGTTAAGGCTCTGGAGCAGGCTGCTCGGAATTTCCCCATGATGGACCTTAGCCTGCCTCCCCCTGCCCCCATGGTGCAGGGGAATGAAGCCAGGCCTTTCGCACTGAGCTATATTCCAAGCCTCCCCCCTTTTTTTGAGGGGGGTGGCAGGGGCAATCTAACTCAGGACCTTGCGCTCACCAGGAAGGTGCTTGTGCCACTGAGCTGTATCCCCAGTCCCTTCCCCAAGCCCCCCCCACTTTTGTCTTTTTGAGACAGGGTCTCACGATGCAGTTCAGGCTGGCCTTGAGCTCACTTTGTAGCCCAGGCTGGTCTCTAACTCACAATGATCCTCCTGGAGTGCTGGGATTACAGGTGTTTGCCACCATGCCTGGCCCCAAGCCCTTTTTAAATTTTTTTATTTTGAGACAGGATCTTGCTAAGTTGCCCGTGCTTGACTCAAATCTGTGATCCAGCCTCACCCTCCCAGAGTGCTGGGATTATAGGTGTGCCCCACCATGCCTGGCTTGGACTGCTAATTTAAAATTCTCTGTGCCTCAGTGTCTTCCTTTTCAAAAGAGAAAGTGTAGATCAGTGGCAGACTGTGTGCTTAGCATGCATGAGGCCGTGGGTTTGACCCCCAACACCAAACAAAACTCGTACCTATCTCCCAGGGGCAATATAGCAATTGAGAGAACACACACAGCCTGCAACATAGTAGTCACCATGGATAACAACCTAAACCACCCCAGCACACACACCTCTCCATTTTATGGATGAGAACACAGGGGCTATGTAGTCTACAAAAACTACACAGCTAGCCCAGCATGGTGGCCCACACCTGTAATCCCAGCACCTGAGAGGCTGAGGCAGGAGGATCATTTCACGTTTGAGACCAGCCTAGGCTACAAAGTGAGCTCAAGGCCAGCCTGAACTGATTAGCGAGCCCCTATCTCAAAAAGGCAACATACAAACAAAACTACACAGTGTCAAGAAAGCACCTAAAGGGCAAGAACCCAAAAGGAACAGACCATAAAAACAGAGCCTGTATTCCCAATACTCGGGAGGCTGAGGCAAGAGGATTGAGGTGAGTTTGAGTGAGTCTGGGTTACAAAATGAGTTCAAGGCCAGCCTAAACTATATTGCAAGAGACTGCCCAAAAGAAAATGAAAAGGACAGTCACACGGTAGGACACTATACAACAGAGATAACAAATTACAACCACATAAAAAAATGGACGGGCGTCACAAACCCAGTGGCGAGTGGAAGATGCTTTATGCAAAAGAGCTCATGCTGTACGGTTACAGTTGTGTCAAGTTGAAAGCATACAAGCCTGAGCTAAGCTGACCCAGATGCGAGCATGTGTGTTAATCAATCACAGAAAGCCAGGCCATGAGGGTATGGGCAGTTACCAGACTGGGGGTTGGTTTGGTCAGGGACTAAGCACTTGGGCCTGTGGTGCTACTAACACTTTTGCAAAACAAAGTATAACGAGTATACGGGTGTTCATTTAGAAATACTTGTTAAATACATATTTGTTCATGTCTTTAAAAATTAACTTTAAACTAGGCGTGGTGGTGCATGCCTGTAATCCCAGCACTCACTGAGGCAAGGGGATTGCTGCGAGTTAAGGCCAGCCTGAATTCCATAGTGAAGCCTTATCTCAAAAAGACCAAAAAAAAAAAAAAAAATTTACACCCAACTTCCTTGGCTTCCTAGACTTGCACACCAAGGGGAAGCCACATCCTGCAGGCTACCCCAGCAGCCCCTTCCATGCCGAGAATGCCACCCTGCTAGCTATGCAGGCACAAGACGGAGGGACAGACTGGACACTCACAACTTCAGGACGGCCAGGTTAGCTTCCAGATCATAAGCATTCTCCTTGGCCTGTGTCTCCACGTAGCGCTCCAGGGTGGCCAGGTTCTCAGGATTATACCTGGGCAAGAATGAAAATGGATGAGCCAAGATAACAGAGCTGCTGAAGCCAGTCCTTTTGGGGTACCAAGGGGGTCATTGTGACCTGCTGCTCTCTTCTTTCCTTTGCCTCTAAATCTAGCCCTGGCCACTGGTTCTAACCAAATAGTCATCTCTAAAACCTCTTACGGAACTTGCCCACACCCAGACCTCTCTCGTGGTCTCTAACCCCATTGGAGCGCCGGGTCTGACTTAGGGCGCCTCCCAACCTCAGCCAGTCAACACTGCCTGTGTGCACGGCCTCCGGAACACACCTGCTACCCACATCTGCTAGGTCTCCACGCGGGTCTCCACCCATCTCCTGCCTAGGTCAACGCCTAATCGCCCCTTCCCCTTCCTTCCTGAATTTCCGGGCCTTTGCTTGCCCTAGCCCGGCCCGGCCTCCTCCTGGCTACCAGTCCGCTGTCGGGCTTATCTCCCGCGTTGAAAGGGAACTCAAGTCCACAAAAGCCAGACTCGCGGCTTGCCAGGCACCGCGAGCGGACATCAGTGAACCTGTGTTGAAGGAACGCCACGAGGGGCAAAGAAAACATGAAGAGGTGACTGAAGAGCTGAGAAAGAAGAAAAAGCGAAGAATAGAGAAAGAAGCTTTTCAGGCAATAAACTAAGGAAACGGAATAGCAGGCGCTCTCGCCTCCAGGCTTTTCCAGTGCTGTGTCCGTGTCTCCTCCTCCAGGACGGCCTCACCCCGCAGAGTGACCGAGAAGCCCACCCCCGGGCAAGCCCAGGCCCCCGGCCAGCCCTTGCTGTCTGCGGAAACCCTCTTCTCCACCCCGCTTGGCCAGAGCGCTCCCTGCGACCGAGCTCAGACCTGTCGATACCCTTGAGCAACTTGCCCACGTTCGCTCTCATCTGCTCAAACATCGCCATGTCTACTGCCTCCTTCCACGACCACTGATGGAGGGGAACACCGGCCGGGCACGTCGTCCTCGAGGACCGGAAGAAGAAAAAAAAAGAACAGGAAACGGAAATGCGTCACTGTTGCCGCTCCAGCACCCGGGGACGCTGAAGGGGCAGGTTCTTCCGGCAACTGCTACGCTCTCCCACTGCCACGTGATTTCTTCCCAGCAGGCGTAATTGGCGCGTGCGCATTCGCTCCGCCCAAGCGGGAATCAATGGCGTGAGAAAACCTTAGTCTACCGCAATGCGCAGGCGCCTTCTTGGGTTAGGGGCGGGACTTTTCCTGGGCTTAGCGAGTCCCCTCCTCTAGGCGGAGATGCTCGCGTGCTTGTTGTCAGAGCTCGGGCTTCCTGGAGAGTTCGTGCCCGCGGGTCGTGTTCTTAGTTATGCACGCGGACTTGTTCGGGAATCCACCTAGTAGCCATACTGTGGGACTCGACCGAGTCCCAAGGGACGCGCTCTGTAAGATCCTCCTTGCTTCAGGCCTGAGTTCCAGACGCAGGGTCCAGGATGCCCACGCCCCCAGTTTCAAGTCTTTGGCCCTGGTTGTCACCCCGGTGCCAGTTCCTTGAGTACGAGCCCATAAGAGTACTGCGTTCCGCGGTGAAGGAAGTGGGTGGGGAAGTGAGGGGCTCCTGGCTGCCGCCGGGTGGGTCGCACCTAACTGGAAGATGAGGGCGCGCACTCCACGTGTGCCGCCGAGTTATTCGTGCACACGTGTCCTGCACTGCAGGGCTGCGAGCACGGGCATGTGTCCCGCGTGTGGGGGGGTGTATGCTCCGAATACATCCGCACGTGTACCAAGGCACGAGCACCGCACAGGCACCGCAGCAAGCACTCAGGAGCCAACACATTTTTTTGAGACACAGTATCGCTACGTAGTCCAAGGTGGCCTCGAACTCGCGGCGATCCTGCTGCCTCAGCCTCCTGAGTGCCGAGATTACAGGCGTGCAACACCACCATGCCTGGCAGGGGCTAACACTTAACTGCATGTATGTGTCCCGGTGAGCAAGGTATGTGTGCTACAGAGCCATCCCTATGCAGACCTGCAAACTGTGGGTTGTAGCCAAACTCTCAAGCACCCAGCAGAGGTTTAACTAGGGTTTGTATTCCCGCCTAGAACGGGGGAGGGGTGCTGGGATACCCCCCATTATAATTAGAATCATTTACATCTCATTTACATACAACACTGAGCCTTAGGGGTAGAGAGGAGTCCCACGGGTGCCACAGCAAACTGCCCCCTGCAGGCTCTCAGAGCCCAGGGGAGTGGGGGGTGGAGCCCATAGCACAGCTCTGCAGCTGGGGCAGGAAGCGAGAAGTGGGGGGGAGGCCACAGCCCACAGAAGCAAGGCGGGTGCAGGGCTTGTGGGGAGGGAAGGAGGTGCCAAAGCTCGAGCCCTGAGGCCCGGCTGGCCCCTGGGCGCAGGCCCAGCTCCTGCCTCCAGGGATGGACCTCGTGGACCCTGACATCTTTAATAGGGACCCTCGGGACCACTATGACTTGCTGCAGCGGCTGGGTGGCGGCACCTATGGGGAAGTCTTCAAGGTGAGAAGTCCCTCTGTCTCCATCACCCCCAGACCATTGACCTTTAGTGTGAGCCTCAAGAAGCGGACAGGCGCCGAGGGGGTCCCAGTCCTTAGCCTGCCTCCAGGATACTGACAGAGGGCTCAGGCAAATGGAGCCCGCCTGACACCAACTTCCCCTTTACAAGGCTCGAGACAAGGTGTCTAGGGACGTGGTGGCACTGAAGATGGTGAAGATGGAGCCTGGTGAGAGGGAACCTGGGAACCCCCGCACCCCACCTTCACCTCGTGGGACAGGGGAGCCCCTCTCCCATAGCTCCCTACCTGCAGCCACTCTTTCTCTCCTGCCTCCCCTTGCAGACGACGATGTCTCCACCCTCCAGAAGGAAATCCTCATGTTGAAAACTTGCCGGCACGCCAACATCGTGGCCTACCACGGCAGCTACCTCTGGTGAAGCTCGCCAGCCCACCCCACCTCCCGCAGGGCTCACCCAGCCCCCAACTTAGAACCCTCCTGAGTGGGCACCCCTAGCCTAATCCCCAGTCTTGAACTTTCCCTTTTGACCCTGACACCCTGTTCTGACCTTCAGCCTTGGACCCCCACTTTTAACTGGAGGACCCCCCCCCGATCCTGATCCCCAGTCCATTTTCCCACTTTTCTGTCCAGAACACCCTCTAAGCTAATTCCCACTTCTGACGTGGGGTCCACCAAACTGACCTTGATAGTCTCCAAGTCTGAAATTAACTTTTCTAATACTCATCTCTCATCATTCTGTCCTTTGGGTTCTCTCATTTCGTCAACTCCTTTAATACAAATTCCTAAATTCTCTGACCCCCAGAATAATTTCCCAGATGCCCCAATAATGACCTCATTCCCTAGATCTAGCACCCTGGGCTCCTCTGTCCCATCCAGACTCTGCAACATGTGAGATCTCCACTTCGTCCCCTGGGCTAGCTTGGGATGGCAGAGGGGTGCCCTGGATTTGGAGTCTCAACTTCCTCCCCTGTAATTGGGAATGGGACAGTCTCATTCTGGTGGGCGAGGGAGGGCTAGAGAGATGAGAGCTAGTACATTAAAATTCTTACCATACTAGAACAAGACAGTGAGCCAAGGCTGTCATATAAAAAATAACTTACTGCTCTGCTATTATGATGATGATGATTATTCCTCTCGGACCACTGCAGGTTGCAGAAGCTCTGGATCTGCATGGAATTCTGTGGGGCTGGTTCTCTCCAGGACATCTACCAAGGTCAGAGGACAGACAGGGAACCCCGGCCCGCTTGCCCCTCAAACCCACCCGGCCTGTTTCTCCGTGTCTGTCTCTGGAAACTGTCTTCCTGGTACGCATCTCACCCAGCGAGCTCCTCTCTGGGCCTGTACCATGTGGGGGACTTCATGGTGACCCTACAGCCCCTGGGGCCTGCCTGCCAGCACCTGCCTGTCCACTCTGGCGTTCTGCATTCAGGGACCCGCTCTGCTCCCCACTGCATCTCTTTGACGAGGTCTATTTGTGTGTTTCTGGATTTTCTGGCAAAGAGTAGGTACCTAGACTTCCATTGAATGCATGGATAAATTTCTGGTTCTCTCCCTCAGCCTGTCTTTCAGTGGAGGAGAATGTGTGTGTGTGTGTGTGTGTGTGTGTGTGTGTGTGTGTG